ATCAATTCAGAAAAACTGTAATGCAGGTTTAACACATTTTCATCCCTAAAATTTAATTGTGCAAAAATGTTCATTAATAATTAAAATGAGACATTTAATCAAGTGCAACACAAACATTACAGACATATTATACAAATAAATATATAAACACATTCAGAGAAATTTTTACTTCATTAACAATCATTTTGAATTGTGAACAACGAAAAAAATCAAATTTTAAAATCAAGTAGGCTATATAATTTTAATCTTCTTTAAAAAAAGAATATCAGTTGCATTATAAAAAATATGTTCAGCATTTACAAAAAAAAGCACTACAATTATTATTCTCTACAAGGTCAGCTGACAGTGTGAAAATCTGCATAAGAGCAACAAACTTTCCACATATCCACAAAATAAACAATTTGTCTGTGAACTGTGAATTGTCTGTCAGTATGGCTGGTTTTGTTCATCTTACTTCATTTTTGAGTCAGTGTGTTGCTGTTTGTGAAAACACCAGGAATGTAATATTGTCAATTTCATGCACCCTGACCTTTTGAGGTGAATTAACTGGTTATATAATCATATTCTCTGTGCAGTACTTTCTCACAGACACTCTGCAATCCCACTGTTTTTGGAATGTGGGCTTGGTTGTAGTTTTCCCTCCTGAGAGTGTCTCGTGGAAGTGAACCTGTCTTAGCAAATGAATGTGCTAAATTGCAGTTTATCCTGGAAGCAGTTGGACTCCAGCAGTGGTCTGAATGGCCCAAAATCTTGCACTCACTTGTGCATGCCCACAGACCTTTAGAAAGGAAAAGAATATCATTTTTATTAAGTACAAGCCTTTTAGCCTATCTATGAAAACAGACGTTATGACAATGTAGAGGTTTTAAAGCAAATGCTTAGTAGGACCCTCATATCTCTGTCAGATTATATTAAAATTTGCAGTACCTCTTTTGGCTCTCCATAAAACCAAATTTCTGATATAGGTTACTGTATTTGCTGTGTTCTTAAGATTTTATATTTTTTGCAAAGAGCTTTTTCGCCCTGCACTAAGAAAAAAAAGGCATCTTATCTACTAGGGATGTGCATCTCCATAACTGAGGCCGATGCGATACGCATCTCGATGCATAGCCAACGATACGATACAATACATTGAAGATACATATAAAGTAGCTAGCGATGCGATACACCCCTATTACGATGCAGTGCGATCCGATTTCGATTCGATCCGATCCAACACAGTACGATTCGATGCAATGGAAAAATTATTTATTTGGTTCAGACAGACAGCAAATCATAAATTAACTTATGTGTCTTCTGACTTCTAACGCCTCGAGGCCTGTTTCATAAAACACGTTTACCAAATAGGCCAGCCTTATTTCAGTTAGCATGACTCACTGTCAAATGATTTGGTTCCATAAAACAAATTTAACAAAGATCAAAATCAGTCACTGTGGCAACTTATGCTGGAAAGCTAACCTGGTCCAGGGCAGGCAAACTGTCAGACTAAGCTGAGCTCCTCTAACACTGAACAATAGGAATGCAATGATATTACCACTGACTCGCTCACATACTATCATTGTGTAACGAAAGTCAACTGAAGGCGAGCGTAGTGAGAACCCAAGTGCAGTTTTATTCAAACAAGGTGAAATCCAAAATCCAAACAAGATACACAGACATGACTTGATTTGACTAGGCATGAAACAGACTCGACGTGGCATGACCAGACTAGACTCACCGACAGCAGGTTACAACATCAAAGCTAGACAAAGTACAAAGGCAACATGAGGGCTATTTATATCAAGCATTGAGGGTCACATGACAAAGACAAACCAATGGGGAACAAGGCACATGACTAAAGCAACCAATGAGAACATAACACAGACAAGGGAATCACATGACTAGACAATAACCAATGAGAGCATGACACATACACAAGGCAGAGAGACATGAGGCAAGGGAAGCATGACACTAACTGCAGGAATCAAACTACAAAATAAAAGACACAAAAACAATAACATGAAACAAAACCCAAACACCACATTACACATAGCCATGCAGCCTTTTTCTCTGGTTTTATGACAGCTGTACCTTTTATAGTTAGAACAGATAGCATTAGAACTTTACAATCTAACATTGCTCTTTAAAGCATTAAAATCACTAAACTAAAAGTTAAAATCACTAAATTAAAACTACATTTTAACTGTTATAAGAAACACACATTAAGTAGTAATTAAGTAATAAGCTTAGTAATTAGGACTGTATTAGCTTACATTTTATTTACCCATTACAATAGTCCCTTTACAGTTACTGCTATTATAAGAATACACCTATATGTAGGTTTAAAATTCTACAAAAGGCACATTTAATGTCCAACAACGAATATTTTAGCAAAATGCATATTTGACTCAGAATGATTGCACTCCGTCTGTTTAGCGTGCATGTGCGCAACAGCGCTCGTTCAATCGCGTATGCCTCGCCCACTCCTGACAGCAAGCAAAATGGATATATTTGCATGACTTTCTAACATTTACAGAGGAAAAATACACTTGTGACATGTCAGTTATACACTGAGGAAAACACAACGTCTCAAATGCATTAAACAGCACAAATATATTCGCTGTTTGCCATAAACATCTTAAAGACAGCTAATAGATGTCTATTTGACATCTAAAAGGAAACGTCCTATAGACGTATTGCAGATGAGCAAACTCTCTAAAAAATACGTCTTGCAGATGTAAATGCAGACGTCAAATAGACGTCTCCGAGATGTACGTGTGCTATCAGGGTTAAGATTAAGCGTCCACAAATTAGTTAGATTGTGTGAACTTACATTGTCGTTTATGGAACTGCTTTAGCCCCAATTGATTTGTTAGGTTATTTCAAGTCAGATTTTGGACTTTAATCCCCGCTTTTCCTCAGGTCTCTGAAGTGTTGTTGTGATAGCCTACGTCATATTCACGCACAGCGGGGATGAGAGAACGCGCTTGAGAAACAGTTCGAGAGGAGAAATCAATCTACATATAAAATATTGGTCACTTTCTAAACAATAAAAGTGTAGCCATCCACTAGTAATTATATATAAATAAATCGGTTTTTACCGATGCAAATATGTTAGAAACGATGCATCGCGAACAAATGAACTTGTATCCGATGCACACTTTTTAAACCAATGCATCGCTTCGTTAACTTTTTTGAAACTGAACTGAACTGAATCAACTTTAAACTGACTGAATTGAAAATCACATTGCTGTATTACATTTGAAGATCTAAGACTAGTATGAGATGTACACAAAAACAAAAAATATCCATATGGGAGCAAATACTTTTTCCACAGTACATTATGCGTTATATGAAGGTGAGTAAAAATGCAGAGAGAAGAGAGAAATACTGAGTGCATGAATGCGATGATATCTGTGTTTAATGACTTACTGTTCTTTCCATATGAAAAAAACAAGCATTTGTCTTACCTTATATGATGGAACAACTTCATCGATGGGTCTGAATTTGTGATTTTCATGTTGTTGTGAATCTCTGCACACTAAACACACAGGCTGTTTGTCCTCCAGACAGAAGAGTTTGAGTTTCTCACTGTGTAAACTGCAGATCTCCTCAGATCCTGATGAACGCCTCTCATTTCTTTCGTTCAGTAATGACTCACACAAGTTTTTTAATGCAAGATTAAGAGGAGGATATTGATTTGAGGATCTTCTTCTGCAGACAGGACACTCCTGAGTTTTCTTGGTTCTCCAGAACTGTTGAAGACACTCTTTACAGAAGCTGTGACTACATGATAAAATAACAGGATCCTTAAAGATTTCATGACACACAGGACAACTATAGTCATCTTGAGATTGTGATGCCATTTTCACTGTTTGAGCTCCAGCAATCTGAACTTTACTTTCACTTTCTGAAATATGGTTTTAAAAATGAATCACCATAAGAGCCACAAAGATCTGCTGTCTGTTTAGAAACGAACTCCTCAAAAATCCTATAAAGTGTTTCTGTTCTGTCTCCACTGATCGCTGATTCCTTTTTGCTTTTGAGATATTGAGAAAGAAAGAAGAAATAACAAGTCAGCCTCTTCCTAGTCAGTGAGTTTCTGATCACCTTTGGTGTGTTAAAATAGGTCAAAGATCAACATCAGGATATATTTAGGTTAAACTTTAACAAAATGCACTCAAAATTAACTTGCATTGAAACTTTCTCAAGAATAATGTGAGAAAACCTTAAATCAAACACAAAAGAACAATGAAAAGCACAAACATTGAAAATGAAAAGAACAAAGACAATTTTTTTGTACAGTGCGTGCATAATTATTATGCAAGGTGATATTCTGTTCATAATTTTTAAAGCACATTTTAATAATTCCAAATCACATCAATCTTAATAACTACTATTAATTTTACATATAATGATTTATACGTTATATATGAATGTTAGGTCAATGATTCAATCACCCATTCACAAGGACAGTCACTTGCTTCGTTCCTGAATGAATCAGCTGTTTGAACGAATAGATTGAATAAATGAATCCGTGACAAAGTCGCTGGCTGCGTCCGAAACCGCCTACTTCTCTACTATATAGTAGGCGAAAAGCAGTAGGCGAGTGAATAAGTATGTCCGAATCCTTAGTATTCATAAAAGAGTAGGCGGGAATTACCTGGGTGACCTACTAATTCTTGCGAGATTCGGACACACGTCTACTTAAAGTGCGTCTGAAACCGCCTACACTCTTAAAAATAAAGGTGCTTCACGATGCCATAGAAGAACCTTTTTGTCTAAATGGTTCCATAAAGAACCTTTAACATCGGAAGAACCTTTCTGTTTGACAAAAGGTACTTTGTGGCGAAAGAAGGTTCTTTAGATTACAAAAAGGTAAGAAAGAGATGGTTCTTTAAAGAACCTTTGACTGAATGGTTCTTTGTGGAACCAAAAATGGTTCTTCTATGGCATCGCTTGAAGAACCTTTTGAAGCACCTTTATTTTTAAGAGTGTACTTCTCTACTATATAGTAGGAGAAAAGCAGTAGCCGAGCGAATAAGTATGTCCGAAACCTCAGTATTCATAAAAGAGTAGTCGAGAAGTTCCCGGATGTCCTACTGCTTCTGCCCAGCTTCTTGAGTGCTCGTCGATGGATACTTTTCTATCCCAGGAGGCCACACAAGAGGATACATCATAAAGAAGAAGAAGAGGATGCATCATAATCGAACATGGCAGAAAATTTGGATGAGGGTGTTTACAAATGTACGTATTACAAACCAAAAACACGGTTCCTTATTTTAAATTAGCAGTTGTTGAACTACTTTATTGTTACTTCTAATACAGAAATCAAATGACATTGTGCTGTTAAAATGACTGCTTTTGTATTATATTTGTGCGTCTTTGCAGGATCTGAAATGTCTGCAGACTGGTGTGAGTAGTGAGGATGGAGGAGTTCACAGCAGCATCCTAGAAATGGTTTAGTGCCATGGATGAGACGCTCCATCACTCCACCGCTTACTGTCTCATCAGGACCAGATGCTGCTGTGGTCTCTTCATCCTCAGTGACCCCAGAGCCAGCGAGTAACTAAAATCACCTTTTGTGTTCAGAAAAACAAAACAAGGATTGAACAGCGAGGCGAGTAAATAATGATTGAATTTATGTTTGGATGAATTAACCTTGTCATTGTGCCTTTTTTTCTGTGCATATAATGTATGCAAACCCATTATATTTATGTTTTCTGTCTTCTAGCAGCTGCTAGAAGATCTCGCCTTTGGAGAAGACAATAATAGAAATGGTTACATATATTTCATACAGTTTCTATTTGCAGGGTTTAAAGGGTTAAATATCTTTGAATAATCATAATATTCAACAATGCATCAAAATATTGCATTTGTTGTTGTTGTTTATAAGCCGGAGGGATGAAACGAGAGAAATTCAACAAGAAAAAGAGGAAAACAGTAGATTTAAGCCGGTTTTGCTTATGGATGAAAATTTTTGCACATAAAATAAAGTAACAACATATTCAAGAGATAACGATTTTGGGTTTTAGTAATAAATAATAATAAACTGTGGGTCATATTAGTAGGGTTAAAAATATAAAAATTTTAATCAACCCGAAATGTATTGGTTATACTACAATCACAATAAAAGGGCAGCTGTTTCTTCATAAGCATCAAAATATTTACAGAGAGATCAATTAAACCTGTCGCTCGTATCTGTTGCGCTTGTTATAACATCATAGATCACATGATAATGTCAACATGGCGGATGATGCCTGGATCGCATTCATACTTAACGAGATTTGGCTGTAGAGTACCTACTCTTTTAGTGCTCGTTAAGTAAGTACTTAATGAAATTAAGTACCTACTCATTGAGTAGGCGGTTTCGGACGCAGCCACTGACTTGCCCCCACCTACTGGCCCATTTATTTTCATTTTAAAATATCATATGAATTTAAATGCATTCATGCCAATTTTGAGTCTCTTAAACAATTTATTGTTCAGTTCAATTTATTGTTTTAATTTAAAAAAATAAACATTTATAAATATAAATGTATGAATTTTACATAAAATATTACACATTTAATAAGGTTAGAAAAAATGCCACTACAAAGGTGCCCATACAAATCACTTTAAGGAGTCAAATATCGCCTCATAATGTGAAGGTAAATTTTTGTCATTGATCAGAAGCTGCTCCTAATTTTTTTATTAAACACAAGTGCACATTAATAATGCTTATATTATCACCCCTCCTTCCCCTATCTTTTCCAAGCTATTTTTGGAAAAATCAAAAAAAGCAAATTAAAACATCTTACATTTCCCCATAACAAAGAAAGAATTGGAAGATAAATTGCAAGGCCCCAAGAAAGCCTGTGGTGTTAACGGCATTTTGAATGAGATGCTGAAACACACAGAGCAAAATTTCAAACTAGCCATCCTGAAATTCTTCAATGATGTTCTGTGTGTAAGGTTATTTCCTGAGATCTGGAACCAGAGCCTCATCAGCCCCATTTATAAAAATGGAGACAAACTTGACCCCAACATTACCGAGGCATCTGTGTGAACAATAACCTGGGGAAAGTTTTCTGCAGCATCTTAAACACGAGACTTTTAGACTTCCTTATGAAACACAATGTTTTGAGTAAAAGTCAAATTGGTTTCCTCCCATAATGTCGCACATCTGATCACATCCACACACGACAGACACTAATTGATAAATACGTACATCAAAACAAAATAAAAGTTTTTGCTTGTTTCATAGATTTAAAGAAAGCATTCGATTCAGTCTGGCATGATGGATTATATCTGAAACTAACTGACAGTGGCATAGGGAAGAAATTCTATGATTTGAGCAAATCAATGTACACAGCCAATGTGCTGACAAAATGACAGGCTGCAGCTTAAGCCCAACCCTCTTCAACATTTACATCAACCAATTGGCTAATACAATAGAAAACTCTCCTGCTCAAAGTCTCACCCTACATGACAGAAATTTAGTGTCTCTTCTATGCACACAACCTGGTTCTCCTGTCGCCCACTAAAGAAAGGCTGCAGGACAGCCTGAATCTTCTGGAGAGTTACTGCCTGTCCTGGGCCCTGAAAGTAACCCTCCAAAAAACTACTTTCAGAACCGCTCCAGATCTCAGGGACTAACACACATATTCACACTATCACACAAATCCATTCAAACCGCAAAAACACATTTATCTCTGCCTTAAAATCACCTCAACAGATAACTTTACTTTGGCTGTGAAGGAGCTCAAAGAGAAAGCTCAAAGGGCTTTCTATGCCATAAAAAGATAGATTAGAATTGACATTCCTATCCAAATCTGGCTCAAACTTTTCAAATCAATAATTAAACCAATTGTATTATATGGCAGTGAGGTGTGGGGTCCATCTATAAACTCTGACCTTGTAAATTGGGAAAAACATCAAAATAAAACGCTACATCTAGATTTCTGTAAAAGAACACTCAAAAGTCAGAAGAAAAACACCAAACAATGGATGCAGGGCAGAATTAGGCCAATACCCTCTCCTTCTAAACATCCAAAAAAGAGCCCTTAAATTCTGGAAACACCTAAAGACACCCCCACCACATACCACAGGGGTTGTCAAACTCAATTCCTGGAGGGCCGGAGCCCTGCAGAGTTTATATTCAACCCTAATTAAACACACCTGATCGTACTGATCAAGTCCTTTAGGCTTATTTGAAAACTACATGGTATGTGTGTTGGAGCAGGGCTGGAACAAAACTCTGCAGGGCTCCGGCCCTCCAGGAATTGAGTTTGACACCCCTGACATACCATCATAAACCCTGAAACACCAAGCTGAGCTCACAGAAAAGTCCCCTCTGTCAGATGGTGCTTTTCAAATGCTTTAAACTTGATCACCCGAGTATAATATGATCCAGCAGGCCGCACTTAAAGACATTGCGGGCCGCCAGTTGCCCATCTCTGATCAAAACTAATTTAAAAATAATACTATCTCTATTAGAATAAAGCAGCACTGATCTATGGTACATTCATATTCACATTTAAATTAATATACAAAAAACATCTCAACCAAAACTGATCTGAACTGAGCTAAATTTGATGAAAATAAGTTGACCACATAACAAAAAGACAGTTTATTAAGTATTATATTATAAAAAGGCATACAGTATGTCATGACCTGGATGACCTAATGGTAGCCTACCTAAGAAGTGTTCATACAGCGCCATCTACTGGTCATGAAATGAACAGTCTTAACGAACCAAAGCTTAGCGGTTCAGTTTGCCCCTGCTGGTAGATGTCGATATTACTGCCATGCGGCAAAAGGCATCTTTCTCTCTGTTAGGTTGTTAGGATCATCATGCCACATCCCCAGAGGAAAGAAAAATCAAAAGTGAGATCTCTTTATCATCTTAAATATTTCTCCTAGACAGCAATGAGGTTACTTTAATATCAAATGGAGATTTTTAGCTTGAGTCTCCTGCTTCTCACACTTGTCTCCTGAGACAAAAACTCTGACACTCTCACAATGGTCTCATTTAAAGCTTTATGAGAGACCTCGTCATCATCACACACTGTGCTCAGATTATTCTCCTTAGCTAGAGACTCTGATGTTCACACATTTCTCTCATTTAACGCTTTAGAAGATATATCTCATCAAAATTGCACAGTGCTTTGAACTTTCTCCTAAACTAAAGACTCTGGTGGTCTCATATTTGTCTCCTTTTTAAAGTTTTTGAAGAGATCTTAACAACATCACTGTGCTCAGATAGTTCTCCTTAGCTAGAGACTATGGATCTCTCACATTTGTCTCCTTTAAAGCTTTAGAAAAAATCTCAACAAGAACACATACTGTGCTCAGATTGTTCTCTTAAACAAAATACTCTGGTGGTCTTATATTTGTCTCCTCCAGTGTTTCAAACAAGATCTCAACAACATCACACACTGTGCTCAGATTTTTCTCCTTAGAACTAGAGACTCTGGATCTCTCACATTTGTCTCCTTTAAACCAGGTAAACTAACTGTCTACTAATACAGTAAAGGAAAGTGAAAAAGTGACATGACATGGATGTATCCCATCCAAGTGCACACACCCAGAGCAGTGGGCAGCCATTTATGCTGCAGGGAGGAATTGGGGGTTTGGTGCTTTGCTTAAGGGTCTCAGTCATGGTTCATTGAAGGTGGGAGGCATTGGCCATTCACTCCTCCTTACCTACAATCCCTGCTGGTACCAAGACTCAAACCCGCAAACTTTGGGTTACAAGTCCGACTCTCTAACCATTAGGCCACGAATGCTGTATGCTATATCTATCCTACAGGCCACAAGACAGCCAGACACAGCCTATCCACCGACTCTGATAATCATACTTACCGCTAGCTCCAGATCAGCTTTTTTGAATGAATGACTTGCTCTACCTGGTGGTCTTCATCAACACCCACTTGCACCATATGCCAGTGAGCAACTATCAGCAGATGGAGATCAGGTAGCCTATCAGTATTCTACTGCTATTCCTGTACTTCCCAGATGTTCAGTGCTGAATATTCTGTCGCTGAACTTGTGGAAACGAATTTGTAAAGCGAAATAAAACAAACATAAAATTGCCTGTCAAATATTATAGGCTGTATTTTTAAACAGACTGAATATTGAAGTGAAGGCTGGAAGGTGAATATTAGTTAATTAATGAAAAGGTGTGTGAAATGATTTGAATTGAAATATTCACATCTTAAATATACAACCATGTTGAATTTTAGCTCCTAAATATGCAAGCCCTGATAATACAATGCAATAAAATGCAAGCACTGTTAATGCAATGCATGTTTGTCCCAATTAGTGCAGTTCAATATGCAGTTTTTCAAATACATGTCATTATTTTTCTTCCATAGATGGCGCTGTTGCGCGGTGAGAGTGTGAACAGAGGCGAGGTCTGTGCGCCGAACACACGGCTTCAGTTCTGAGGCGTTTCATGTGTTTACGCCTGCCAAACAAACACAGGTGCGGAAATAACAGGGATTTCTGGGATTTTTGCGGGCTACCGGTGGAAAGAGGCAGAACAAGGCGGCTCTCTGTGACACCATCAGATGAAATGTGTGTGTGTGTGTGTGACGCGGTAAATCTATGCAATGAGGGAGTGAGTGATCGGTCACTACTGAGGGTGTGACGGATTAAAAAAAATTGGTGATTCTGGTCACTATGACTTTTGACCAGTGGCGATATGTACCAACTTTATTAGTTTCCTATCATGCTAGCATCATGCCACCCTTTTCTAATGCGCGCGCGCACACACTACTTTTCCTCTAGAAAATAAATGATAAAAATAACGAATCAGAAGTGTTCACGTGCATTAAAATAATTACGCTTTAAGTATAATAAAAAAAAAGTATTTACAGCAGTTTTGTTCCGTTAAATTATTGCAGGAGTCATAGAGTATAATTTAAAGCTGTATAAAAGCATAATGAACATAAAGATTAAATCTCTTGTAACGGCAGATGTGTTTTAACACGAGAATTTCAAAAGATGTTTTCCTTTTCTTCATCAAGGTCGTAAAAACCTAAAAATATCAGATTATTTTACATTATAGGTCTATAACATGATTTTCATGATTAAAAATGACTAAAATGCTAAGTGTGAAAATAAGTAACGTGCACATATATTCAAGATGTGAGGAAAATGCATTAGTTTGTAGGCTAGTTGCAAAAAAAAAAAAAAGTATTTGCACCTTTTGTGTCTTTTTTTCTTACATTATAAAACCACCAGGAACACAAAGATTGCAACTCTAATAACATGGCAGATGTTTTTTTTTTAACAAAAAAATTTCTTTTGCTTCATCTCGAACCTTCTTATTTGTCAATGACCCCTGAATGGAGTCGTGATAATAATCATGAGACCCTCACAGATCATGTGACTGTCTCTGCAGAAACTCTGTTTCCGGCTTTGTCAGGTGTGTGTTTGGGGAGTCAACACAGCAGTTCCTGTTCTGGGTTAAAAATAACCCAGAGACTAAAATTCCTCTCTCTCTCTTTATCTTGGTTCGTCTCTGCTGGAGTGGAGCAAGATGGCCCAGCAGTGTGTTACATAACCTCCAAAAATAAAGGTTCCTCAGTGGTTATTTACAGTCAGGAGAGCCCTCTTCATATTAACAACAATATTTGGCTTCATAGGAATCTTGAGATGTGATTTGAATGTGTGATAAACCTCTTGGTATTTCACCTCAGACACTAAAGCTCCAGCACACAGATGTTTTTTTCTAAGTAATAAACATCTCTAAATAAATAATTTATATATATATATATATATACAGTGCCTTGTGAAAGTATTCATACCCTTAACTAAATATTTAGCTGAAGCACCTTTACAGCCTCAAGTCTTTTTTGTTTAATGCGACAAGCTTTGATCATCATCATTTGCCAATTATCTGCCATTCTTCTCCTGACCTCTTCACCTCTCAAGCTCTGTCAGGTTGGATGGGGGCAGATGCACATTTTCAGGTTTCTCCAGAAATATTTAATTGGGTTCAATCCAAGGCTCTGGCTGGGCCACTCAAGGACATTCACAGAGTTGTCTATAAGCCACTCTTGCTGTGTGCTTGGGTCATTGTCCTGTTGGAAGGTGAACCTTCTGCTCAGTCTGAGGTTCTCCATCAATTGCTCAGTTTGGCCAGGAGGCCAGCTCTAGGAAGAGTCCTGGTTGTTTCAAACTTCTTCCATTAAGGGTAACAGAGACTACATGCTTCTGTGACCCTTCAATGAAGCTGAATTTTCTCTGAACTCTTCCCCAGATGTGTGGCTTGACGCAAACCTGTTTCTGAGCTCTACAGGCAGTTCTTTTGACCTCAGGGCTTGGTTTTTGCTCTGATATGCATTATCAGCTGTTAGACCTTTAATTAAGACGTGTGTGCCTTTCCAAATCATACCCATTCAATTGAATTTGCCACAGGTTAACTTCACTTGAAGTGTAGTAATATCTACAGCAAAATTAATGCTCCTGAGCTAAATTTCAACTGTCCCAGAATACTTATGCAATGGAATCATTTTAGTTTTTAATTTTTAATAAATTTGCAAAGATGTTAAAAACCTGTTTTTTTTTTTGCTTGACAATTATGGTGTATGGAGTGTAGATTGTTGTGGAAAAAAACGAATTTAAAGCAGTTTAACATATAACATAAGGAAAACAAAATGAAGGGGTATGAATACTTTTGCAAGGCACTGTTTTGCCTTGCGAAAATTACAAATTACAATAACAAAATTAATTTATACAGAATAAACATAAAACTTATGTACCGATGTGCACTTTAATTACTGAATATACAACTGTATAAATATTAATATGTATTTACATAATATATATTTCAAGTATTTGTAAGTAATAATTACTTTGTACAGAGAAATTATTTTGGTGCTGAATGAATTTGTGTTTATGTGATGACTGACACTAAACTACCTGTGTGGAAGCATTTCAGAAACTTTCTTTCCAGTTAATGACTTTCAAAAGTCTGAATGTCTTTCCTTCTGTCTCTCTGTGTTTGTACCTTTGCTCAGTCTTTCCTCAGGTTCTTACGTTCAACCTCTGGCCTCCATCTCTCACTATTTTTCCACAGACGTGTTTTTGACGGTAGTCTGTTTGATCTGTTCCTCACACTCCTCCACCCACACCTTCTTTTTCCACATCACTCCATCCATCCTCCATGTGCAGCGTGTTTGTCATGCTGAGCTTTTCCACTCCTGAGGAAATGACTGAAAACATGACCTGACCTAAGAAACATCGAAAGTACCTTCAAATCTGAACACATTTGGCTTTACATTTACTTTTATTTAACCTTTTTCTCTCTTCCTTTCTTTAGTTATTATATATATATATATATATGTGTGTGTGTGTGTGTGTGTGTGTGTGTGTGTGTGTGTGTGTGTGTGTGACTTTTGAATTAATCTGATCTATCTCTCCATCAGTCTTTTCATGCAGGAAATCTCTGCTTGTTTTTTTGTGGCCGCGGCTCTATTAATGCTGCAAACATCACACAGCTGAGTATATTTATCTAGCCTTGCACAAAGCACACAGCGGACAGAGCTATGGGTGTGAAAGAGACTTTAAAGCATCCCTAATAGTTTTATTAAAACATAAGTCAATAAACAGCAGACAGCAGCTCCTCTCTGGAATGAAGTCGTTTTTATGAATGACTGCATTCATCGCTGACCACGCCCCGAATTCTCAGAACTCCGCCTCGACTGACAGACTACGCCCCTTTGGAATCCTAGTCGCAGAGCCGCGCTCTGATTGGCAGAGGGGCGGGGCTTCGGATAAAATTACAGTTCACCCGTATAAAGACTCACTGGGGTATGAAAACAAGTGTTAGAAACTTCAGTGCTTGAATCAGCGGCAACTTACATTGTCGTGCTGGAATAAACGCGCCTGTTTGGATTATTAACGCTTGTCTGTGAGAGTTGAAGTGCTTTATTCAGGTTACAGTTTCAATAAATCATCTTCCGTGGACATTGAAGGTTGTATTATGAAGATGAGTGATTTAATGTGTCTGTTGGTGCTTGTATTGATCATCTGCACGACGGTAAGTCACAAGAGTTTCATGTAAACAGTGTAAACAGCAGGAGTTCATTGCATTTAATTAAGAATCATAACAAAATGCAGATAGAAACAGTTATCAGTCGCATCAAATAATTGTATTATAGTAGTAATAATAATAATAGTGTGTGTGTCTGAATATACTGTATATATATATATATATGTGTGTGTGTGTGTGTGTGTGATCTGCACACCTGAGAGAGTTTGACCATCCTCATGGCTTTTGCTGTTCAGAAATAGATGAGCACAGGCTCAAAATAACCAAAGCACAACAATCCAGCCCTCAATCCCGCTCCATTAACCCCGCCGGCCAGAATCGGTCAGGGAGGGTCCGAGTTATGCGTTGATCTCACATCCACATATGGGTGACTCAAGAGCTCATCTCCTCTGAGTTTAAGATGCCTGGCGCGGCGGTCATTCTCAGAGGGCTTGGCTGGGTGTTTCACACAGCGATGGAGATGCCAGGGAAACAGGTGCAGCGCTATCGGAAATGATCCAATGGAAATAGGCTTTAATGGAAAAACCCTTTGGAATGACGAAACACTTTCCCAGCGAGAAATTGCATTGTGAGGTGAAAATGAATCGGCCTCATCCCATTAGCACAAAAACATCATACCGCATTCATGCAGTGTTTCTTCCCTGTTGAAAAATATGCTGGTTAGGTGTGTTTTAAAGAATGACTGTTGGTTTGAGCTGGTTTAAAGGGATAGTGCACCCCAAAAATGAAAATTCTGTTATTAATTATTCACCCTCATGTCGTTCCAAACCCGTAAGACCTCCGTTCGTCTTCGGAAAACAAATTAAGACATTTTTGATGAATTCTGAGAGATCCCTGACCCAACCATAGACAGCAATGTAATTATCACGATCAAGGTCCAGAAACGTAGCAAGGAGATCGGTAAAATAATCCATGTGACATCAGGGGTTCAACCGTAATTTTAAGAAGCTATGAGAATAATTTTTGCTCAAAAGAGAGAAAAAAAAATTACTCAACAATTCGTCTCCTCTGTGTCACCAACCACTGATGTCACATGGATTAACGCGGGGTAAATTGTAACACACGTAGTTTAAATATTTCCACACATGCTAGCATAACCGGCTCTCCCCTACTTTACTGATCTCCTACGTTTCTGGACGTTGATGCTGTTAATTACATTGCTGTCTATGGGAGGGTCAGAGAGCTGTCAGAATTAAAAAAAAATATCTTAATTTGTGTTCCGAAGACGAACGAAGGTCTTACGGGGTTGGAACGACATGAGGGTGAATAATTAATGACAGAATTTTCATTTTTGGGTGAACTGTCATTTTAAGCTGGTCCTCAGCAACTAGGTCCTGCTCAAGACCAGCTTAGGACCAGCACATGACCAGCTAAGGACCAGCTTAAACCAGCTCAAACCAGCAGCCATGCTTCAAAACATACCTAACCAGCATATGCTGTTTTTTTCAACAGGGTTTCTCTCTTTTTTTTCTTCTTCTTTTTTTGGAATGTTCAGAGAACATTCAAAAGTAACATTCCCATAATGTTTGCAGATTGTAAAATGGAATGTTCCCTTAACATTTTCAAAAAATATGTTCTCCAAACAATGTTGTATCAAAATGTGTTCTAAGGTTGTTTTTTAACATTCCCATTAAGTTATAAAAAAAACATGATTTCTGAATGCTCTCTGAACGTTCAAAATATCTATATATATAATTTTTTTTAATGTTTTAAAAACATATTTCCTTGGTTATATGAACATTACACATTCCATCATCATAAACATTTTATCAAATTTTCTTTATATATATATGTTCTCTATATTAAAAAAATTGTAAAGAATGAAAATAATTTAGTAATAATATGAATGTAAAAAAAAAAAAAATTAATCACAATTAATTGCATCCAAAATAAACGTTTGTTTTATATAATATGTAAATATTTTTAAAATATGTACATATATGTGTTTTTATATATACATACTGTATATTATATAAAAAATTTTTTTATTTTGGATGTGATTAAACCCTAAAAAAAAATGCTATGGCGATAGTACTTTTTTACGATTCAATAACCATTGCAATTATCCACTTGAATAATTTTGTAAAGTATTTGTAAAAAATTGTGAGTAGCTTCATACCAAATCCTGATGTAAGTTTATATTTTTTATTACACGTTTTTTTTTTTTTTCAATTTTATAATTTTCAAACATTATGAGCATTAGTTTTGAATGTTCTCTAACAGTTCTCAATCAAGTAGTGAGATGTTAGATGAACATCCAATTAAAATGTTTTTGAAAAACTTTCCATGAACAATGTATAATGTTTTTGTGCTAAAGGATTCAGAACATTATTAAAGACCAGATAACATTGAAGGAACATTCTATTAATATTGCGAGAACCTTTCCATTATTAATAAATAATGTCATTTGTTTCAATGTAAATAAATGAACTCAGGTTTGGAACAACTTGAGTGTGAGTAAATGATGACAGATTTTTTTTAATTCTTTTTGGGTGAAGTATCCCTTTAAATATTCAGAAATGATCATTTTATTTATGAAAAGTTTTTGTCTGGTAACATTAAGTTGCCCCAAGCTCAAACTGAACTCTGTATCCGTCTCTCTGACATCTGACAGGTACGAGCGAGGTGTCCTAAGGTGTGTAAGTGTCCGGCGGAGCGGCCCGTGTGCCCGCCAGGCGTCAGTGCGGTGCCCGATGGCTGCAGCTGCTGTAAGGTTTGTGCCGCCCAGCTGAACGACGACTGCCATGAAGGCAAACCCTGTGACCATCACAAGGGCCTGGAGTGTAACTATGGCAACGATGTGGCCAGTATCCATGGAATCTGCCGGGGTGAGTGAACAAAACAACTCGAGTTTAGATTTTTGGGGTCTCTAAAAATAATTGTATAGATTTAAATTAATTTGCAATAGTGTGAGTGTGTGTGTGTGTGTGTGTTATTAATAGTGTGTGTATGTATATGTATTTGCATATATTACAATATATGCCAATACATATTAAATTAATAAAATATTTAATTTTTACATATTTAAATACATCTTATATATGCTTTATATATAAATCTATAATAATGTACAACTTTTTAAGTTGCAATTAAATTTCGTTAGCCTATAAATCACAATATGCTAAAGAAAATTCAAATGTTTATGTTTGATTTTTTAAATAAATTTCAATATTTACTTGCACGTATCACAATAAATGTATAATGATTTTGCATTAGCGTGTTTGTCACAGAATATGATAGTGATGATGCAAATTGATTTAATTTGATAACAAAAAAATTTTTCATTTTCATTACCATAAATACAGTATATAACGATATATTATAATGCAAATTAATTTAAATGTGTAAGTTTTGTTTGGTTATGACAAACTAAAGGCTACTAGAAATTTACAAAAATGAACAAAACATTTGATGTCCCACCCAAACGTGCTGTTTCAATAGGAAATATTGTCAAAAAAACTAATGAAAACACTCTATTCTAATTTTATATTAAAAAATGATTATATTTATTGAAAATTTACCAAACCTTCCAACAATTATCATAAATAATAAATTGAATGACAAGCTGTTGAATAAAGTAATTCTAACTTGGGTTACACAGGGGACTGATGTAGTTTGGTCACCCTGGGCTTCAGGGTTTATATTTATTAAGACATGCACATTCATTTCCTCACATACAGAGGATATTTTGTGCACTGGGCTAGTTTCTATATTAAGGCAGTTATTTGAGTTGGACTAAAGGGGGGTTTTAGAGGGCATCTCACACACCCAAAGACTATCTGATGCTCAACGACATTGTAAACAAGTCAAAATTCCACACTGCCCTAAACATAGAGCCTCTCTCATAAAAGCAAAGGATAGAGTGTCAATCTCTGTTTAACCCCTTACTGTCACTCTGTGCAGGTCATCTTTTGGATAATAATTCAATGCAAATTATTCCAAAGATGTCAAAAGTAATGCCAATCAATTTAATATATGTTTACTGGAAAACAACACAAAATACTTAGCTAACCTTAGCTAACAAATATGTGTTTCAAGAGCGATTTGCTAACGTTATCGTTAGGTTATGAAAATGTTATTTCTGAATGTTCTCTGAACATTCAAAATTTAGTTTTTTTTTTTTTATCTTTTGGTGTCAAAATTAGTGCATTAACGCAGGCGATGAATTTTTCCAGTTTAACGGCATTAAAAATAGTTAACAGGGTTGATACGGGGCAGGGCTAGGGTTGGCCACACTCACAACTGCTACTTCTGTCTCTTTTCTTGTCAAGAATTGCATTTATTTAGATGCAGAACATCTTTACGACCACATTAAACAGAAGACTATTAAGACACGCACTCCACCTCAGGGCCAGGCGCGGGTCAAATGAGTGCGGAAACGGTAAAATTGATGAGGATCTTCAGTAGAAAATCAGTGAACTGCAGTCAGATGAGATGCTGTCAGAACATATGTCAGTAAAAATTAATCTCCCTGTCCTGTCAGCCGTTATACTGTGCTCGTAGTGCGTGCTCTTCAAATGCACACACAAATACGGCGGCACATGCTGTAGCCTGTATAATTTCATATTAAAGCACGAATTAAACTATGAGCATGCGTGTCAGATCCACATCACATTCAGCAGCGGCAGGTCTTAAAGTAATAGCAGCCAAATAACCTAATAACCCAGCTGCTGTGATTTCTGTTAATCAAAGATCAAAAGAAAAAAAAGAGTAAATCAATAACTTTTGTAGCTTTAAGGATTAATTCATATTTAATTTAGAATTTAGTGTTTGATAACTTTATTCAATTTCTGTATATTTCCTACTTGCTGCAGAGCACAGATAAATGTGACATTTATTATAATGGTTTTATGTGAAGATTGTTTTAAGTTCACTTAAATTAGAGGTTGTTGTTTTTTAAAGTCTAATAAATGTTAAAATTGATAGCTCTCGATTATAACGTAATGTTGAATGGCTATAATCAATTGTTAAATATTAGGAAAAAAATAACAATTTCCTAGAGACATCAGTAGTATATCAGTGATACTCGCCTTCAGTCATAAAAAGATGCCATTAAATAAATATAAAAAATATACCATCTTTATGTTGTTTGTACATTAATTCGAAGACTCAATGTGAAATTGTTGCAATATGAAAGTATATTTAAAAACTTTAATGTTAGGTGGGATTAATTGCAATTAATCGTGATTAATTTCAGAAAAAAATGTGTGATTAATTTGTAAATTTATTTTATCGATTGGCAGCACTAGTTTTAAGAAACATTATGGAAATTTTACTTTTGAATGTTCAAAGAACATTCTGAAAGGAGTATTACATTTTTAAAAAATGTTAGCAGAATATCCAACTAAAATGTTTCTGAAAAAAACATTCCTTAAACGATGTATAAATAATGTTTTTCTGCTAATGTTTTTGAACGAATATTCTATTAACGTTACTGGAAGAACTTTGAAGAAAGTTCTAAGAACATTCGCTGTTAACCGGGACATTTTTTTTTTTTTTTTACACTGACAAAAACACTCTATAATTACTAAAACTTTAACTAAAATGTAAATTTTTGATCTAATTTTAAAATCAGTTCCCTTCCCGTCTTTTCTTTGTCTTTTCAGCCAAACTGGAAGGCCGCTCTTGCGAATACAACGGCCGCATGTATCAGAATGGAGAAAACTTTCACGCGGGCTGCAAACACCAGTGCACCTGTATCGACGGGGCAGTGGGCTGCGTGCCCCTTTGCCCCACTGATATTCCTCTGGCATCACCATCCTGTCCCTCACCTCAACTGGTCAAAATCCCCGGCCAGTGCTGCCTCAGTGTGGACTGTCACGGCGAGTCTTCCGTCCTACCGCCAGTGTTCAGATGGCCAGAGCCGCAGCCGCCTCCGTATCTGTTCCCTGACCTGCACACCTACAAGAAACCCCGACCAAAGCCATTCCCCTACAAGCCCAAAGAATCCCTGAGCAACGAACTCATAGAGGTGGAGAAAAAGTGGGATAAACCGCGCAGTCGAAAGCATTTGCCAGGTGAGGGCGCTGTTCTGTGTGTCCCCACAAAATTTTGTAACTAGGACTAGAATGGAGTTGTCAATGTGTCACCAGAACTTGCCAAAAGCATCCAACCAGCTCCGAAGCAGCATAAAACAGTGTGGACTAACTTGTAAATGCATGCGTATTTAAGAGGCCATTCTTTTAAGGCAAGACACCACATGCAAAATCTGTGTTTTTTTAAACTGGTCAATTTTGAGATTTTGGGCTATTTTGCTTCCATAAAATGTCTTCTTTCAGACAAGTGGAAAGAAAACCTCTCTATATTCTGAAGGTTTTTGCTGAGGGGTTTGTTCATACATCATTAAAGGGTTAGTTCACCCAAAAATGAAAATTTTGATCTTTCAAGTGCCCATCCATAAAAAAGTGTCTCACACGGCTCCGGGGGGTGAACAAAGGCCTCCTGTAACGAATCGATGCGTTTTTGTAAGAAAAATATCCATATTCAAAACGTAATAATCACTTTAATGTAGCTTGCGCCAACAGTTGAACACGGAAGCAGCTCCGGGCTGATGACGTATGAGGTCAGCTTTGCGCATGCGCCACTCAGAAGTGACGAATGCGGAAACGCAGGGGAGAGATCAAAATAAAACTCCGGTCACTTATTAGAAGTACAAAACGAGGATTTGTAAAGAAGAAAGTCGGAGGATTTCGATATAAGCCAAGAGGAGACTGGTTTTCCTTTGCTAAAGTTCGTTTTTGGGTGAACTAACCCTTTAATACTGATTTACACAACATTTTTTTCTATAAACATAGTGAAACCTATTTTTTCTCTCTCTGTCTGAAAGTATTTTCTGATTTATGGAGTGATAAAAAAAGAGCTATCAAAAATCCCCTCTAATTTGTCAACAAAATGAAACAAGAATTTTGAACCTGGCGTTATCCAATGTTCAGATTTATCTTCTGGAAATGAATGCATATTTAAGTAGTAGTACTGCCTCGCTGGCTTATTTATACACACATTTTCAGAAAACGTACAAAACAATTGAAGAGTTCAAATGCAAAAGTCTCTAAGTGCCGTTTGAAATTTTCCTCTAAAATGACCATTTTTATCAGGCTTCTATGTGTAGGTTCGGTAATTTCACTTTAATGGCAATACATAGGTTCTTTTAATTGCCATTAAAGTAAAATAACTGAACATAAACAGTAGCCTGTGATTAGTGATTAATCAACTAGGGAAGTGTGATTATATCTATTAGTGACACTTTCCCCATATATACCTGTGTAGTCTTGCCTTAATTTCTTAGAACTTGACATGGCGCCAAACGTGGAGTTCATTGCAATACTTCAAGTTAAACTAAATGAAAATGATTTTTAAAAAGCCTAAAAATTAAATAGGCTTAGTATGTTTTCGATTTTTATTTTAAGTAAAAAAAAGTGTGTTTTTCATGGTTTTAGTTTAAGTTAACTATAATAACCTTGGCTCAGGCTGTGATTGCTATCATCAATGACATCTGTTTAGCATGTTTACATAAACCAACAATTAAAAATAGTGCAGCAGAGTGCAAGAATGTGTCCTGTGTGAATGCCCCCTTTGGCTGCCTTTGGGTTTCGGTTCAATTAACAATCAGTCCCAATGTGAGCTGTGGCGGTTCCTCCTGCATGCACTTCTGTGTGGGTGCCTGTGTTTAGGAGCCCGCCGCTTCTTTTCCACAAGATCCTTGTGAACCAGCCCCACACACGGTGCCTCTGTCAGGCAGCTGTTTCCCTGCTCGCCGTAATCACTTTCTCTGTGCGTCAGTGTTCCCTGTTGGCTGAATGGTGCCTGTGTCCCCGTGTCTCTCACTCTTTCTAGCATGCAAGCAAGTCGGACGGCAATGTGTTGCGCAGACGACAAGCTGGACGCCTTGTTCACGCAGCTGCGGGATGGGCGTTTCATCTCGGGTCACCAATGAGAACGCGCAGTGCAAGCTGCTGAAGGAAACCAGACTCTGCAACATTCGTCCCTGTAGTTCTGAGGCTGTGCCTATAAAGGTAAACATACCAAGATTATCTGCAGAATCACCACAAGATCTGCTGAAAAGACCAGTTTATGTCTACTTAAATAGCACGAGAAATCTTCCTTGCTTCACCAAAAAAGACCAGCTTCTAAACTACGTTTATGTTGGTGCACCAGCACCAAACTGGTACTAACCAATACGAAAACATTCATTAAATTAAATCCATAAATCTAAACCATGCAATCATCATTTGGCCTTTGGCTCTTTCCAGTTTCACAATGGAAATGTTGCTCTTGCAGTGTTTTCCAATGTGCAAGTAAAATGTCTGTTTTTAACATTATTTAAAGCCTTGCTTATTGTTGAATATTATTAGGTATCAGGTATGATTCTGAATATGGAAGTAGCTTGAACAACAGCAGCAGCATACTTTAGCAGTTAACATGTCAGCATGCATGATGTAATGTAAAATTTGATTTAAATTAAGACATTTTCACTGCGGATAGTGCTGTTCTTCCTCACCATTCTTATCTTGTACTCCTAGTACAGATGTCTAAAATAAACATATGTTTACTGGAAATTCAAAATGACATAAGAATTCATGTTGTCTCAGAAAATTATCAGAATTAAGTGAGTTTATGATTAAAACAAGAACACATAATTGCCAAGAGGAAAAATCTGTCAATGCAGTAAGACTAAATACATTCATATTAAAGAAAAATGCAGTGTTGCTTCTCTAGTTAATTTATCCTGTTTTTATGATTTTCGAATTTGTATGTATTTTTTTATTTATCTAAAAAAAAGAAAAGTAAAATCAAGAAGTCAATTTCAGTGCTAAAGTGATGTTTCATTGTGACTCTGACTTAGGGTGTTTACACAACAACAATGTACTAAAAACGGTAGACAATGTTGTTGAAATGATCCCCATTTACGTGTTTCTGAAAACGACTAAAAATGCTGTATTATGCATGCCAGGACAATAGTTGGCGATGTCACTTTATAAAGAAACATGACTGATGGAACACATAATGTGTATGACATCACCGTTTTCACAAATTTGTGGATTTGTTGTTTTCGATAAGGGTATCATTTTCAATAACTTGCACTTTGAAACCCGGTTTAAAAAGTTCACATTCTCTGGCCACCAAAACACTGCTTTCATGAAAATGAATGGCCAAAACGCATAAAACGATTCCCATTTTTAGTTGAAAACGGTGTCGCGTAAACAGCCCCTTGGCCTACTGAAGTTATCACTGCACACTTCTTTTCCATTGCAGATGTGAGTGTAACCTGCCTTTTATTTTTATTTAACAGAGGGGGAGGAAGTGCTCTCGTACGCAGAAGTCTCCAGAGCCTCTGCGTCTGCGCTACGCTGGCTGCCGCAGCACACGCCTCTATCGGCCCAACTACTGCGGGACGTGTCTGGATGGGCGATGCTGCTCGCCCCGCCGCACACGGACGGCCCCCGTGCTCTTCGCCTGCCCCGACGGAGAGCACTTCGAGAGGGCCGTCATGTTTGTGCAGTCCTGCAAGTGCAACGATGAATGTGGCCACCTGAACGATGCGGCGCTCCCGCCCCAACGTTGGCTGTATGGCGACATGCACAAGTTTGTTGATTAACATCTTGTTTGTCCAAAGACCCGCCCCCATGTCTTTCCCCAACCAATAGAGTAGCGTTTCGAACTGTAACTCTTGAGTAGACGCTAGGCCAAGGCCTTAATATAATGCAAATCCATGTGGAAAAAGGGCAATTTTGGGTTTCCAATCCCTTGTGCCGAGAGCCTTAGAGTAGATGTGCTTACCATGAGGATCCAGGATGGGATGAATCCTGGTTGTGAATATATACAATGGATTTTCTGATTGACTGGTCCTTACCATGAACAGTGATGCATTCTGGGGCACCTGCACAATCTAAATAAGAAAAAAAAACTGCCTCAGCGGGATGCTGATTAGACACTTAAATGTGGTGGGACCGACTCTCAGCTTCACAAGGGCTGGTCTTTACTTCTTCTGTAGTGATTGCTTTGCCTTGACGTTCAAAGAACAGCTGGCAAATACGAGGGAAACTCATCGGGAAGTCGTTTTAAGCTACCCAGGGTTTGACTCAGCTGCTTGTGGACTCGATGCTGAGTTTGATGGTTTCGTGAGCCCATGACTCCGCCAACTCACTGAGGGATATTTGCCAAGTGCCGCAGCTCCCTGGCGTCAAAATGTCGGCTCCTCTGCTACCGGCTAATTACAATCCTCTTCTTTGGGGGCAGAAAGAAACCCAGTAACCCTTTGGTTTGCAATAAAAATACGTTTAAAAGACCAGCATCTGATGTAAACATGTAATTTGAAAGTAATGGGTGGGACGGTTCTTTCAAACGCTGGTCTGTAATCTACCACATGATGGCAGAGCCTCGTGCAAACGGCACTGGTGTCTGTGTTTTATAATGCAGCAGTCTCTATTTCTGCCTGGCATTGGTGCATGAACTGACGGAGGTGACGAGAAATTACGTTGTGGAATAAACTGCCAATTACATGCTGCATGCAAACTTGATGGAAAATTAACAGCGTTCTGTTTCGTGTTACGCAAACTTTACTATGGGTTCGGGAAACGGTCACAACTACCTAGTTAGTTTTTAATTTTAAATGTAATTTCATCATGCATGGTACTTTGGTAAGAAAGCACAGGAAATTACGTACTCCAGTATCTCCTAGGCATTTTATTCCTGTCTGGCACGAAAAGAGTGGAGATCTTTTGGTCCCCAATGTGCGTGCGTCTGTGGGATTTTCTTCACCTGTTTTATCGTACGGCAGGTCAAAATTTTAAGACTTTCTTTGACTACCAATCAAGCATTATTGCAATCAATCTGATTTAATCATAGCTGATATTTGTATGCTTTTATTAAAAACATTTTTGTACAACCTTATAAACAAGTCTCGAGTAGATTATATCAGGAAATGACAATGAGCAGCCAACATGTGACACTTCGAGACTGGATTCGGGTCTGGTCTAAAATGATCTTGTAGTACAAGTTCCTCTCATTTGTTTTACCTCTTAAGAGAGGACAACCACTCACCATCCATTAAATAAACTGGCTTGTAAAAACGACTCCCTGCAGGTGTGTGATCATTTGTTTTTGTTTTTTATTATACTGCAGTGTAGTTCCAGCTGTAACCATTTTAACAGCCTAGTCAAACTCAGTTTACATTTTAAGTTTAACCCTCATATGGTTTGCATTTCCTGTTTACACTAATGGTATTTGGGGTCAATATGACCCCAAAATTGAAAGAGTAAATGTAAATATATACATTTTTAATCATACAAATTATATATTTTTTTTTTGTTTACTTCTCTATACATTAGAGCTGTGTTTTGGGAGATATGAAGTACTTTTGTACCCATTTACCACAAAAATCCTCAACTACACTAAATTTGATTTAAGTGGTTTCTGGATATTGATCTAGGTGTTAGGTGTAGAATTATGTCATCTGCTGGTTAGAGAAAAACTTGGTAGAAATTAGTTTTTGAAAAAAAAAAAAAAAAGTGTAATGACCACATATATCCAGCAGAGGCCCATAGAGATCCATTCATTTTTCTGGAAGTGGCTTAACTGCTACTCACAACTTTTGCTATACATTTTGTAAATATATACTGAAACGTTATAAAAAAAAAAAAAAAACATTAAAAACAGTATTTTTCTCAAAGGTTAAATTTGTTTTTGTTGTTTAAGGTATTTTGAAGTGCCCGCTTTTGCAATAATGCCACATAAATTTGCAGAAATGCCACACTTGTCTAAAACTTGCTTTTTTTTATTTTTTATAAAATCACCTTTTTTTTCAATCTAAAAAGTAAAAATCAATTTTATTTTACTTAAATGTAAATAAAAACCACAAAGACAACTTATTTTGGAAATAAGTCAATTTCCTATTAAAAATGTACATTTTAGTCAGTCTAAAACTTGCTTTTTTTATTTTTTATAAAATCACCTTTTTTTTCAATCTAAAAAGTAAAAATCTATTTTATTTTACTTAAATGTAAATAAAAACCACAAAGACAACTTATTTTGGAAATAAGTCAATTTCCTATTAAAAATGTACATTTTAGTCATTTGCAACCACACAAGTCTCTCAATGCATTAACCTCAAACAACGGAGGTTATGACACTGGCCTGCAAGTTTAACAAGACAAATATCTATTAAGATTTCAGAGTAAACCATTACACTAAAAGCACCTGGAAACCCATAACGAAACCACTTTCATACAGTGACACTTCTCAGAAGACAAACACAGCCAGGTCAAGGTGTAGTATATAAAAAGATTTAATTTCATTAAAACCCAAAACAAAACATGATTTTACGACAAAATCGTAAAACAGACAACTCGCCCGGTCCTCTGAGAGAAGCAGTAAAAACAACTGTGGGTTTGAGGTAAAAAGGACGCTTTAAAAATGGAGGTTCTGCACCCCGCCGTGACCCAACAGCTGCGATTCTGGAAACATCAAGACCTTCATCTGGACTGTTCAACTGCACACAGAAAAAAGACAAACGTCACTTCAAACACGCAAGACCTCAAACGCTATTCTTTCAACCAGTCCCTGTGGGTTTAAAACATTTGGCAAGAAACCAATGGGGAAACAAACTCAATGTTTGAAACTGAGAATGACGATACATCAACTAATATATCAGGGATAATAGTTAAGTTTGGGGTCCAGATTAACTTCGCAATGCTTATATATTTGACCAACCCACTGATAGAGCCAATGCTAATAACCTCAAAATATCCAATTAACTAGCATCACTTCAATGACCACATTAGCATCCGCCAACATTTTCCCTAATTACTACATTTCTGTATTTGAATACAATCAACCTTATTTTATTTGTAACACATCTGTTGTATTTATCTATGCTTGTAATTTGTGTATTTGTTCTTATTTTTACTGGCTGTTCTCGTCTCTTTAATCATGTTTAAACTTTCTTAGTTAATCTAGTAGTATTTGCTGTGGTATCAAAGAAGTACTTCGCTTTAAGTAATAAATGGAAAGCAAGTTAAATTGAAATATTTTTCTTTTCTTGATGATCTGAAAAATGATCCGATCCCTGGGTCAAAAACCGTAATGTGATCCGAACCGTGAGATTTGTGATCCGTTGAACCACTATTATTAATTCATCACACTTATCAGGTTACATTAGATATCAGAGTTTATTTCTTCATGCTCAAAACGCTTATCAGGTATAATAAGATGAGACCCAAGACTCACTGTAAGTGGAAATGTCAATCTCCTCTGGTAACTCAGCCACGTTGACCTCGAATCGGTCCTGCACGTCGTTCAGGATCTTTGCGTCCGTCTCGTCTGACACAAATGTGATGGCCAAACCCTTGGTGCCGAAGCGACCCGCACGAGCCACCTGAGAACAGGACGAGACCGTGTGAGACGTGCCACTTCAGAGATCTCAAACACTTGTGGCGACTACATGGATACGTACCCTGTGGAGATACGTGTCGGAGTCCTCTGGCATGTCATAGTTGAAGGCAATGTTGACCCTCTCGATATCCATTCCTCGCCCGAAAAGGTTTGTGGCCACTAGGATCCTCCTCTGAAAGTCTTTGAACTGCTGATACCGAGACAACCTGCGAGCAGAGACAAGACGAGTCTCAGCTACGTGCATTAAATATAAGTAATTTTAACACAATGTCCTCACTAGTCAACAGTCATATTTCATTACATAAAAGGACATTCAGCCTAAACAAGTACACACCTCTCTTCCTGTGCCATTCCTCTGTGAATGGCGATGGCGGGGAAGTTCTGCTCCACCAGTAACTGTGAAAGTGCCACGCAACGCTGAACAGACTTCACAAATATCACCACCTGCAGGACAACAGCAGAATTACCCTCAAGAACATGAAGCATGCATTTGGAGCTCAAGTATTTGACTAACTATATTCTACAGGGGAAATGAGTGGCAGAGAAAGATGAACAAATGCACAGATTTGGAAAATCATGCAGTGACAAACCACAATGAAACTGGAATAAACGGGGTCAGGTTTGATCTACAAAATATTTGCTTGTGTTCCTCATTTGCAAGTGGCTTTGGAAACTCAAATGAGCGTCAAGTGCTAAACTCACCTGGTTGAACTCCAGCACGTCGAGCAGGTCAAAGAGTTTGCGGTTCTTCTCGCTGTCCTTCAGTTTGCAGTAGTACTGCTGCAGACCGTGAAGAGTCAGCTTCGTCTCATCGTCCACAAACACCTCCATCGGCTGAAAACAGACAGCAATCATCAGACAGGATGCTCTATATGCTTTAGATTAAAGCTCATTGCACACTTGAATCTGAAATTTTCGCAAGTTAAAAAATAAATACGACCTCACTTTGTCTCAATCATGTTTACACACGTAACTTTAGTCATAAAAATTCGAATGGGGTCGATTTTCTGCATTTTTCGCACCCGTACCAAACATTTTGAGAGGTGTTTTGACAATTCAGCCCCACCCTACAAGCAAACGCCAAAATCCAGAATGCCGTCTGACAAGTTAATCCACTTCGTCTCGCAGCACAAAGCACTGTGAAGGTCCTTGCACACACAGGTCTTTTTAATATGTGGCTCCAGTATCGCTAGCATGAAGCATGAAACTAGGCCACCGACATCCTGACCTAAACTTTGAATCACCCGGGATAATCCCGCAGTTCCTTAATAAGGAGGTGGAACTCTCCTTCCTCTCTACGCAACCTCATGATTGGATGGACCCAACATTTCCTCTTTTCTCTTTTTAAGAAGAGTGGAAAACAAATTACAACCTGACAATTTTACTTATAAATGCCCAAATGGCTTAATACGTGTCCGATAACTTCCAAAGACTTTTAAAATAAAAAACAGAATTTTCTTTTTTAAACTGCCATGTTTTCATCACACATTTAGAACATACTAAAATAACAACACTACGATGAGTATTATAATTGATATACTATTAGTTAGCTAAAATTTGGAATGGTTTTCATTTTAGTGGAATTTTGTTGCATGTTTGTTATTCAGTTTTAGCTAATTACTTAAACTAAGAAAATGTGGTTTTTTTTTTTTTTACTTTTAACATTTTGAACAAATGTGTTGCTCATTGTTAAGGTTATGCATTAACAACTAACAGGGCTTTTTTTGTATTGACTTTAGTACTTCAACGAAAAATGTTTGAATTTTAAACTTTAAAACATATATTTTTTTTTATATTAAATTCAACTTAATCTTCATAAAATTCATCTATTTTCCAAAGCAACATTTCTAATTTTTGTTTAGTTTAAGAATTACTAAAGTATTACATAGTTACATAAATATAAGCCACATAAATATATAAAAGTTTTCTGGACTCAAAAACACTGCACAGGAAAAAAAAAAAAAAAAACTCATGCTGATAAACAATGAAGCAAGAAAATACAACTTATTTAATAAAATTCAGCTAGTCTTCAAAGTAATATCGATGTGTCTAACACTCACGCTGGAAAATGACAAAGACAGCAAATGGCACTCATTAAAGAAACAGACAGACGTTACTCACATCCTGCATGAACTTGCGGCAGACGGGCCGAATCTCTTTACTGAGGGTGGCGCTGAACATCATGCACTGCTTCTCATGAGGGGTCAGTCTGAAGATGTCCTGAACGTCACGTCTCATATCTGACAAAGAGACATCATTTTAATCACAGACTTAGCTCAACACAGTTCTGAGCAGTTTTTGGTCAGACGCTCACCCAGCTGCTCCAGCATCTTGTCACACTCATCCAGAACAAAGTGCTTGACGTTCTTCAGGTTGAGGGTTTTGTTTCGGACCAGGGCGAGGATTCGTCCCGGCGTGCCGACCACGATGTGAGGGCAGCTCTTCTTCAGGACCTCCTCGTCCTTCTTTATGGACATGCCACCAAAGAACACGGCCACCTTCACCGTGGGCATGTACTTGGAGAAACGCTCGTACTCCTTACTGATCTGAAACGCCAGCTCACGCGTGTGACACATGACCAGCACAGACACCTGAATCACAGGAAAAGTCAACTTCATCTTCTACAAGTTACAGATAAAAGAGTTATCAGGGCCACAGATTGTTAAACCACCAGCATAA